ATAAACTAAAGGTGATTTTGAGGCAGCATTGCCACATTACATTGGCGGCTTCTTTGGAGAAAATATATTCTTGTATATTGGGCGGAGTCGCGAGAATTCGTTTGATAATTTAAAACAAATTTCGTACGAAGGAAGCTTGAATAAGAGAATCTCATGGTCGACTTATTAAATGCCTTCTTTAAACCTAAGAAAACAACGGCATTGATCAATCCATGGTCTATGTATTTAGCGCAGACGGCTTCCTTACCGAAGACATCTTATCAGGTCTTTTGCAGCCAGCGCCCGAATGAATCCATTGTACAGGAACTGAAGAGCAGTGAGATAATCTTCAGCTTGGCAACACATCCAGTGTGCGTCTAGTAAGCTATCAACTGAGGCAAACAGATTCAGCATAAGTGATCAGTGCTGGCTTTCCAAGAAATGTGGATTGTTTACCTTTTAACCAAAAATTTCTCTCCGAATGTAAACGGCAGAAATTTTGTCTCGAACGTAACCGACCCGAAAAGTTTCGAAATAGGGCAGTCCAAAATTTCCAACCGAATTATCCGAGTGGAAATGTGCTTACCATTTGCAATTCTTCACCGCCATCTTGGATTTATGATCAGGTGGAACTCGCCTTAGTCTCTTTCGGTGAATCGGTTTCTTTTTTTGAGTAAATGGTAAATTAACAAAACGGACAATGACAAAGGTGGCCTAGTCGTTAATGGCGGATGATTGTCCGTTCAGAAGTCAGGAGGTGTTAAACTCACAGTCCTTGAAGAAATGAACGNAAGAGCAGTGAGATAATCTTCAGCTTGGCAACACATCCAGTGTGCGTCTAGTAAGCTATCAACTGAGGCATACAGATTCAGCATAAGTGATCAGTGCTGGCTTTCTAAGAAATGTGGATTGTTTACCTTTTACCCAAAAATTTCGGTCCCAATGTAAATGGTAAGACAATTTTGTCTCGAACGTCAAAATTTCCAACCGAATTATCCGAGTGGAAATGTGCTTACCATTTGCAATTCTTCACCGCCACCTTGGATTTATGATCAGGTGGAACTCGCCTTAGACTCTTTCGGTGAATCGGTTTCTTTTTCTGAGTAAATGGTAAATTAACAAAACGGACAATGACAAAGGTGGCCTAGTCGTTAATGGCGGATGATTGTCCGTTCAGAAGTCAGGAGGTGTTAAACTCACAGTCCTTGAAGAAATGAACGCCTACGAGATCTTACGAAGGCTTCTGAAAACAGAAGCTGAACTTTATTCGGGCGCACTACTTAATTACAGCAAGGCCCTTTTCAACACTACGCTCAACCGTGTCCCGCCCTAAAATAGCCGTGGTTAATATTCTGTATGCGATTTGCAGAAGTACAATCGCTTTTACTTTTTCTTCTTTTTTTAACAGAGTATGCTATGAGCAGTCTAGTTATATTACATAAACATAATTTCCTCGCCATTTCAGTAATGTTTCACAGAATGTTGAAGCATGTGGTCATACCGACTGGAACCATTCGGTGCAGTGTTAGTGTGTATTTTATGAGCACGTGACGGGTGGGTGTGGTACCTGCATTTGCCGTGGCCTGCATGTTGCTGTACACCATGGACACGCGGTAAAACGCTTGTGACGCCTCGCGCCAGTGCTGCTCCCTTGAAGCTGCAGCAGCTGTTATGCTGTAGAGGACTATAGACCATGTGGTGCCTTTACTCACACTGGAAAACCTACAAGAAACAAAGGAAAGCTTTCATTTGAATGGTCACACGCTAAGGTTTCGTTCACAAACTTAAACGTTAGACCACCTTGAAGAGCATAATAAACAGTACCACATGAAAGTACTGCTCAATAGCTTTGATTTGAAAGGTCACACACTAGGGTTTCATCCACAGACTCAAAAGTTAGAACCACCTTTTACAGCATAATAAACAGTACCTCATGAAAGTACTGCTCAATAGCTTTCATCAGAATGGTCACACACTGGAGTTTTATACACAGACGTAAAAGTTAGAACCACCTTGTTCAGGATAATAAACAGTACCACATGAAAGTNACTGCTCAATAGCTTTCATCAGAATGGTCACACACTGGAGTTTTATACACAGACGTAAAAGTTAGAACCACCTTGTTCAGGATAATAAACAGTACCACATGAAAGTTAAAAGTTAGAACCACTTAGTACAGCATAATAAATGCTTAAAAAACAAAAACAAAAACAGTTCCAAAACAGCTTACCCAGCAGTTTCATTTAGTAGATTTGTCAGAGAGTTGTAAGAGTCTTCTAAGTCAAAACTACAATAAAAGAAGAGACCTGTTATTAATAATAAAAAACATGTTATTGATCTTCAAGTTTATTATTTACTTTAAAAAAAGGTTTATTATTTACTTGATTACCTGGCACTTAAATGTTCTCTTCTGTATCCTTCGTAAATTTCGACGCTTTTACTAAGTAAGAGATCTCTTGTAGCAAACAACTAGAAAAAAAAAACATCACAAAAATCATCATAAAGCGACTATTTACGACCGGTCTGTCACTGTCTTAAGGCACAGATTTTCTAGTCCAAAACGCTAGATAAAGGTAAAGTCTGTGTATGAGCCAAGTGGCTCATCAGGCCGGCGCTTATCTCCGGTTGCTGTACCATGAAGCGACTAGGACTACTTCTACTCCCCCCTGGATGGGATGTTAGTCCATCGCAGGGTTACCCCCCCTCCCAGCATTAAATTCGCCGGTATCCATTTATACACCTCGGTAGAGAGAGGCACTGTGAGAGTAACATGTTTTGCCCAAGAACACAACACAATGTCCCCAGCCAGGGCTCGAACCCGGATGGCTCGATCCGGAGACCAACGCACTAACCATGAGGCCACCACACCTCCACACTTTCTTGAAGGCCCAAGCTATATTTTCGAGAAATAAGTTAGCTCACAGCAATTTAGTAGGCCTTGATCTGTAAAAATACCGATTTTCTAGTCCAAACCGGGGTTGGGGTGGGGAAGGAGCTAATTCAGTAGCTCGGGCCATCATCTGTAAAAAGGAATAAACTTACAGGGGTGGAAGCGGTGAGGTAAAATGCATTTGAAGTTTTATCATAAACCTAGCTTTTCCAAAAAGCTAGGGAACACTGTTCTGATGTACTATCGAATTCTCAGGGTTAACAATAACAGAAACGTATGAGCTCAGTGAGGAGATTTAATATTTTGAACATGGGAGAAATAACACATTAAAGTTGACTTACTCCTTCCAGTTTCCTTAATTCCTCTAAAGACAGTGTGGTAGCTATGACGTCACTATAAAGTTCCAGGGCCCGCTCGCGGTCTCGCATTTGAAAGAGCCTGGCAGCAATCATCCTTGTCAAATGTAAAAGCTTGTTAAGCTGGTTTTCCTGGAAAAGAAAGATAGACGTCTAGTCAATGGTTTCAATTTTTTTCCCTTGCCTTTTCGTTATATCAAAGTTCGTTATAATAAGACATTTCTGAGTTGTTTCGACACAGAGGCAAAAGGCAACTCCGAAATGGCCCATGGTGAGAGAGTCCGGTTTTACGAGATTTGTTCGTTACATTGGAATTCTTTATAAACGAGACTTCGTTGAGTGAACGCTTTTAGAAAAGGCGGGTTCCATTAGGTTACTTAAGTTTTTTCNCACAATGACCGGTGATGGTTGCGTTTTCATATTTCTTCGGCGTAGTGTGGATGGAAAACATTTGATTCGTTTTTAGAGTGAAAGTTCCGTTTTTGAATTCCTCCGACGTAGTGTGGACGGGGTGTAAGAGAACATTACGAAATCCATGAACCAATACTACAGAAGAATTCATACTGAACATTTAAAAGTTCTAGCAACATCTGTCTCCGAGACATCGTAAAGAGACCTGGCTTTTACATGTAATCAAGTTAGGCTTGCAGTCTGGCGATGTATTTGTTTTGTCAGTGCTGGTAGCGTTTTGAAGCTTTATACTTTGAGGATTATGGAACTTTCTATTTCTTTGCCGGTGTGGTCTACGACTGGACGGTACAAGTTCAAAATCATCTTCATTTCTCACCTGAAGTATAAGGTCTCCCGTTTCCTCAGGTTTCACCTGAAATAAAAATAGAACGGGAGATTCGCCTTAATGTCTGTTGCAGTTAATTTTTGATCCAGTTAATTTTTTATTTGAACTAAGTGTAGTTGTTTTTTTCTTCTAGTTAGTTAACTAGTTTCCAGTTTAACCCTAGTCGATAATTTTTAATGGCTAAATTTAAAAAAAGGTAACCAACTAGGAGAACACGACCTGTGGTTAACGTTTGACATACCTCAAACCCTTGAAGCATCCCCACGTTTACCATGTCATTGGTTCGTTTGAGAATTCTTAGGGCTACATCAAGTGCTCTCTGTACAAGAAGGAAGCAATACTAAAGAGATTAGTTAACACAGAACAGAGACATAATAATCAAAACGGAATTTAGCAATGCATTATACACGTGTGCATGCAAGAGAAGGCCATGGTGTTATGCGCGGTTACTTACAGTATCCTAAATACCTTTACCTGTAGTTCAGTGCAGTCTTCTCCTGCTTTTTCAGTATGCTTCAGAATGTCCTGTAACAAAACAGTCAAATCACTATCAGTTTAAAAACACGCCTAGTACTGGCTCCTAGGTCGCTCTTTACATATAGAAGCTAATGCTATAATCACAGTTGCCACAAAAAGTTGTTGGAACATAACTTGGAGCGTATCCCAGTTTATAAAGTAATTTAGGAGTTTGCCTCTTCACTTGACAACATGTTAGTACACTGCAGGTCAGCCATGGCGGCAGTTTGTCAATTGTCCTCTCAGTATAACAGTGTGATATGGAGTCCAGTGCCCAAACCGTAAGGGCACCATGAATCCCTTCCCAAAGATACAGATCATTTTGCTTCTCGTAGAAAAAAACAAGTAGTTCTCTTGGAAAATAACTGACAGTGACACCCTACATTTGGAGCAAGGCACACTATGAAGACAGCAGAGAGACGTAATGAATTCCTTTACAAAGATAGATTATTTTGCTTCTCGTAAAAAAAAAAAGGATAATTCCCTTTGAAAACGTTAAGAACTTCAGACTTCGTGACATTTCTCCTCTATAATAACTAAAAGGTATAATTTCACTTTCAATAAACCTTGAGCAGAAGTTGATATTTAGTTATTCTCTGAACAGGCTTGATAAGGTAATCTGCTAGTTGCAGTCTGTGACCCAGTTTCTCCTTGCAGCCTTGGAAGAAGGAGTCGGTATATTTCTGAACTAACAAGTCAGATTTGGGTTTGTTCCTGCAGTATTCTGAGTACAGTTCCTCCAGTTGTTGTTCCTGCCAAGAATTTTAAACAAATGTTTCATTTGTGAAAAATTCACATGGAAGTAGTGTAAGTTGTCAAATGTAAGTCAAATCAACTGGAGTTACAGTAAAACCCTGTTAATCCAGTCACCAATGGGCCACAGAAATCTGGCTGCAATAACAGGTTGATTGTATTAAAGGGGTTGTCTAAGTAAGAAAATAACTGAATGAGCTTTTTTTTTCAGGCCAGAAAGTGGCGATAATAACAAGGTGGCTGTATTAATGGGGTGGCCATAAGGCAGGAGTTTCCCTGTACATAAATACAAGATTGCGTCAATGCTCTGGACTGGTTCATTCGAAGTGTCAACATTATACACCAGTCAGACAACTTAATTCAATTGTATCAATACTATTAAACAAAATTAAATTAATAAATCACCATCCCGCAGATTGCCTAGTTGGTTTTATCATTACATGTTATCCATTGGGTATCTTTTGAGCAACTCATTTTAGGCTGTACCATGTTATTACATTTGGTGCCCTGATTGTATCTCCAGACATGTATACATTAGTGTACATGTAACTGCACTGCAAGGTTACAGGTATGAGCAAAACATTTTCCTTTTTTATCACAGTGATTTAACTACCCACCGATTGTGCAAAAACTTCACCAATCTTCTGAGGTTCATCTTCACAATACTTCAGATCATTGCAAAGTTCTCTAGGAGAGGAACATTAAAAGTTATGGCTGTCACATCATCAATGTCGTCAAAGTCATTTATTGATTATTATT